AAAACTCACAGAAAAAGATTGTAAAAGCCTCCTCAAAACTGTGATCAGGCGCTAGTCTGGAAACGAACTCCCGTGGCGCAGAGCAGCTTCTGTCTGAGGCGGCTGGCGGCACGCTTGAACTGCTGTTGCTGTGCAGGCGAAAGGCGGCTGATCTGCCTCAAGAGACGTCCCTCTTTGCCATACCTTGCCACGGAGCGGTCGCTGAGCCAGCCTCCGCGCTTCTTCAGCACAGGGAGGGTGGCAAGGCCATTCAAGTAGTCGAGAGACGGGCCACCGTGTCGCAGCGTGTGCGGCGACACCTTCAGCGCTGCCAGCCCTAGTCGGTGGCTGGCCTCGCGGAACAGGCGCTCGTAGGAGGACAGCTGGAGTTCGTTGAACAGGCGCTGGGTACGTCGTGCACGGGCTCTGGCAACGAGCTGTCGAACAAGTTGCCGAAGCCAACCACGAGATGGGTCGATAGACCCAACCATCACGGTGTCGTCAAACTGCTGATTCTTGTTGGGCCGAGGCGCTGGGCCACTCGAAGGGGCAACGATCAGCGCCACCTTGTCATAGCGGTCGCCAGCCCTACCTGAGGGCAACACCACGTGCTCGAGGGACAGGCTGACCGCGGCCGCCGGGCGAAGGTGGGTGTCGAACTGCAAGGCGCCGCAGGCGGCGGCAAGGATGGACTCGGTCGTGCCCAGCTCCAGCCAGTGGTCGGCGATCGCGGCGAACACCTCCCAGGGGCACGGGTCACGGCTGAGCTCTGGGCAGGCTTTCACCCAGCCCGCCAGAGCTTTCACAGCATGTGGCAGGTTGCGCGAGGGCGCGACGACGCCATGCAGGTGGGCGTAGCCGAACAAGGTGTGCCGACCAGCCCACGGCTCACAGCCGTCGAAGAAGAGAAAGTCAAAGTACGCGGAGAGGCTGGCGTCCAGCTGCTCGAGCGGGGCCAGTGCCCGGGGCGGGGCCTGTTGGCTGGCCCAGCGGACGAAGTCCGACGAGCACGTCTCGTAGTTGACCAGAGTCCCCTTCCCGACGGTCTTGCGCTCCAGGAACCGGTCGCCGGGGTCGTGTCCCGCGGCGGCCCGGCGAGAGGCCGCCTTAGCAGCACGTCGCCGATCTCGATCTGGTAGCTCCGCGTCGAGGACCGACCCAGACCACGCGCTGGCCCCAGTGCTTGACGGCGTCCTTCCACGGGCTGTGGTAGCACCTGGGGCAGTGAGGCCTGAAGATGTCGGTCGGGAGCGGGCAGCCTCCGGCTCGCGCCAAGTCAGCTTCCCATTGCTCCAGCGAAGTGGCATCGGCCCCGCGGGCCGTGTCTGGAGCCGCCCGTGCCAAGATGGCTGCCCAGGAACGGCAAAGACGAGGAGGGTAGCGCCCGGCCAGAGTCGTCTTCCAGGCCCACCGCCCTCGAGCCTCGCCGGGCCCCGGAGGCAAAAGTACTTTTCCCTCAAGAATCTCATGATGATGGCTTCCTGGGCATAGACGATGTAACCCCTGAAGGGCATGCATGTTGGTGGCCAGGAGGGTCGGCTTGAGATACCCTGCACCGTACGCACAGTTATCGTATCGGACAAAGATTGCGTTCTGCCTCTGCAGCTCCTTCCTAAGGGGCCTCCAGGAGAAGAGCCTCGAGGAACGCGGGTTCTCGAGCGAGTAGAAGACGCCATACCGATTGCAGAGTTTGATGAGCCCCAACGAGAACTTGGCCAACTGTAGGCCCCCAAGAGTGGCCGAACCTGAGCCCGTCGTGCGGGCCCTTGACCAGGTAGTGCACGGAGTCCCCAAGTGGAGGTACCACACGAGCCCCTGCTTGACCAAGCCCTTGATGTGCCTCTGGGTCCTCTGCCTCGTGACGTCCATGTGGGGGCCCCTCGAGATCTCGATGGGGCACCCGATGTTGAGGTCGGCCTCCTGACAGGCGGCGGAGAAGGCGGCGCAGCCGGCGAAGATCTCCACGACGAACTGATGCTGAGCTGATGTCCTGACGACAGGGTTGTTGCTTTTTCTGTGCTGATCAGTCCGTGCACGCGGGCCCCGCTGGCGGGTGCGTCGACGGGGCCGCGCTGCGCCTTGGCTGCATGGAGCGGCAAAATGCCCGCGAGGCCCCATGCGCCCAAGAGGTGACCGCCGCTCGGGCGGAGTCCGAACCCTCGTAGAGGTCGGGAGGGCTGCGGACGTCTGCCGCGGCCCCATTCGCCCCAGCCCCGACCGCGAAGGCGGAGGTCGGCGGACCCGAGCGCTGGGTCGGGCTGGCGGCGAGTCGGGGGCCCGCGAGCATCGCTGCAGCACCGCTCGGCCGTGCCGGCCAGCGACGGAGCACCCGGCGGCCAGCTCGCCTCGGTCGGCGGCCCGCGAGTCGAAGTCGGTCGGGTTCCTCTTGCTCTCCACGTAGCGAAGGGACCAGTCGAGCTCGCAGCCGATGGAGAGGGCCCCGGCGCGCTGGCACAGGCGCCGAAGGGCGAAGCTGCCTGAGCGCCCCTTCTCGAAGCTGCAGAGGCTCGAAAGGTTGTCCCCAATCGAGAGAACTCTCTTCCCGTGGAGGCCGACGCACCTCGAGGCCCGCACCAGGCCCATGAGCAGCACCCGGCCCTCCTTCTCATGGATGACCCCGTCGTGCTGCCACGCGCCCTTGACGACCATCGCCCAGCGCTTGCTCGCGAGCAGCGCGTCGGGCAGCGGCGGGATCCCCACCTCCTCGGCTGGCCGCTCCACGGTCTCGATGTCGCGCCATGGCCGGCAGCGAACCGCAGGTCCGCCGCCGAGGTCACGGGGGCCGCCGCCGAGCGACCCCGCTGGATCCGGCGAGGCCCGCCACTCGGCTGTCCAGCTGCCCACGGCCCCCCAGCCGTCGTCGCTCCGCTCGACTGCGTCGAAGCGCCACCGCTCTCGGTAGCGTGCCACGGCCCGAAACTCGGGCCCCGAGACGGACGTGACGTGCAGCGCGTAGCCCACGGCAGAAGAGTCGCCACAAAAGGCGATGCTGGCAGGCTCTGCGCTGAGCCGGGCCTCGGCCAGGAAAACGAGCCAGGAGGACACTTCCAGCTCCCACCTGACGGACGCCCACAGGCGAACCTCCTTACCACCGCTCTCGGACATGAAAGCCCAGACCTTGTCGAGCACCGAGAGCCCGAAGCGCAGCAGCTGGCAGTGGTGCACGATGTGGCCGACCAGGACCTGCAGCACGAGCCCGCTGCAGCGACCTCGGCGCAGCACGGCGCGCAACGCCAAGTGAAGACGCCAAACGCGTCGAGACTTGGGACGCAGCAGACGACGCCGACCATCAAACTCCACCCCCAGCAGCTCGAGCGTCTCGGCGGGAGAGTTCTCCTCATGGTAGTGCAACCCGCTCTTGTCGAAGTCGCCCTTGACGGCGTCCAGGGCGCGCTGCGTGGCGGCTCGGCTGAGCCCGATGACGTTGGCGTTGTCGACGTACGGCAACCGGTAGGCCAGCTCGGGCCGCGGTGCCTCTGGTGCGTGCCGATCCTGCAGCAGGCTTGTCTCCGTCCTGCCCGCCTCGGAGGTGATGGCGTGGCAGAAGTGGAGCGCCCAGGACCACCCCATGGGCAGCCCCTCGAAGACCGGGAAGAGCATCTCGTCCGGCCCCACCGGCACGAAACACTCCCGCTCCTCGTCGTAGATCTCGCTGACCCCCCAGACGTCAGCGCGCTCGGCGAAGTCGATCCCGAACAGCGAGCCCAGCTTGCGGTTGCGAAACTGGTAGAAGCCATTGTACAGGTCGACCGAGGCTGCGTTGACGTCGGCCGGCCCGTCCGAGCCGATCGAACTGTCCGAAAGGTCCAGGGGCCCGAGCGCCGCCACGGTCCCGAGCCACGTGTGCGGCGGGCGGCGACACATACGGTTGGCCTCCCTCGCGTCGACGATGAGGCGCAGGGCCCCATCTTTCTTCGAGACGAAGAAGATCCCCATCCTCGCTCTGATGCTCCGTCGGAACCCCAGCAGCCCAAGCTCCTTGAGCCTTGCGAGCAGCCGGTAGCGCTCCTTCCTGGAGAAGCGCAGCTTCGGGTCCCAGAAGGGCGAGAACGGCATCTCCTGCTCGTTCGCGCGCTCGAGGTCGGAGCCGTCACGGAGGATGTGCTTCTCCGGGTGGGCCAGCATGTCACGCTGGTCAGGCGGCACCAGGTCCAGGACGTCGCGGACCGTGATGCCACACTCGAGAATCTTGACCCGCTCGTACGCGTACGATCCCAGGCTGCTGGGCTCGAGGCCGTACAGGTCCTTGGTGCGCAGGAGCTCCTTGAGGGCTCCCTGCTCGCTGAGGTCGGCCGGGCGTCCCCCGGCGGCCCCAACTCGTCGCGCCACCCGCTCGAAGACCGATAAGCTGCTCGGCCCGAGGGGGCGCTCTCCTGTTGCACTTCGCCCCCGCCCGGCTGAGCGAAAGGGGCGCGACGGCCCGGCCTCCAGAGCGTTGAGCGCCCCGAGCACCGAGTGGATCCGCCGCTCACGGCTGGCCCGCCTCCGAAGTCTTTGCCGAAGATAGCGGGGCGCGCCGCGTAGTTCAGGTCGAACTTGCTCTGGTACCAAAACTGGGAAGGGCTCTCCATGGCGTCGGGCTCCCTTCTCTTCCCCAGGCATAGCGGCACCGCCGCGTAGAGCTCAGCGCCTGGGGACCCAGCGCTGAGCACGACGGCGCCCCTCGATGCAAGGGCTACTTGGCCCCCGCGCCCGGCTGATCCTTCTTGCCAGCCTGGCGCTTGTCGTCTGCCGCTCTCTCCTCCCGCCACAGCCTCTGCTGCTTGAGGAGGAAGCCCTCGTCCTTCTGCCGCTCGGCGACCCACTTGGTGAAGTTCCTCGTGGTCACCTCCCCGCCCGTGCCGATCGGGTGGGACATCATAACCTCCAGCCCCTCGGAGCCGGGTGACTTCGGGTTCCTCCGAACCGCCGCCTCGATCTGAATCAACCTTCTGATGTGCATCTCGTTCGAGAGGCTGTTCGTGAGGTCGTACAGGTCCACCGACTGCGCCACGAAGAGCGCGCTGCTGAGATGCCGGTGCTCGCGGGCCAACCCTGACTTCGGCGACACGCCGCTCTTGGCCTCCCAGTCCAGGTTGTGGGTCACGAAGTTGAAGCCGACCCGCAGCATATTCACCATGAACTCCTCGGCGGCCTCTGGCCCCTCGAAGGGCTCGTAGGGCATCTTCGTCTTGCTCTGCCTCTTCGTCGCATCGTCTGGGTGCAGGTACCGCAGCCCTCGGTGGTCCCGAACGTCCCCCAGCAGCCGGGGATCGCGACCTGGCCCGCACCGCTTGGCCGATAGCCAGGCCTCCAACCTGTCGTCCACGACCTGCTCGATCAAGACGCCTGTGTCGTCGATCGTCACCCAGCCCACCTTGTCGCCCAGCGTGCAGCCCTCCTGATCTCGAAGCGCATCCAGTGGAACGACCTCCCCAAAGGCTCGGTGGACTGGGTCCGCGACCCGCCACGTGGCGTTCTCCGCTGCAGCCGCTGGGCCAGCGGCCGGCCTGAAGCCCGTCAGGTCGAAGCCCGCCACCTCGGCCAGCTCGTGCGCCTCGGCTCGGATCCGCGCCAGCTCTCCCTCGTCCAGCTCCTCGTCGAAGACGAACGCCTCGCGGAGGTATGCCGGGTCGATCGGCTCTCCCCGCCGAAGAATCCGGATCCGATGCGACGAGAGATCGGCGACCTGCACGGCCAACGTCGGCGAGCACACGATCCATCTTCCCTGACCCCCTGGGATCAAGAGGATCCGAGCGTGCCAGTTCAGCCCGTTTTCGTCGTCGAAGAAATCGATCAGCACCTGCTTCTCGGCGATATCGAGAGCCCTATGCGCCATTCCTCAACCGCAGGGTCGAGGGCGTCGTCGCAAAGGGCCTGTCCACAAAGGGCTCCGCCTCGGGCGCTGACGGGGCCGACCTGCCACGGCGCACACTCAGCCTCCCGAGCAGGCAGCCTCCCCCGCCGCAGCCCGCCGCCAGGCAGCAGAGCAGCAGGATCAGCAGCCACGGGAACGCGGGGCAGGCGTCCAAGCAGCTCTCGCAGGCCTCGCAGACCTGCGCCGCCGGGCACGCCGGCGATGCCCGTCCGCTGCGCGCAGCCGCAGCGAACTCGCCCACTAGCTGGTAGCAGGCGTTGTTGTCCGGGCACGTAACCCCCGGACAGGCAGGACAGTGCTGCTCCGGGCAGCTCAGCGAGACGTCGGGGCACCGCTGCCCGAGCCCCGTGAGATCGCGGGCCACGGCCCAGAAGAGATGGAGGGCGGCGGCGGGGTCCCCTCCCATTCAGCTGTCGCCGACAGGGGACCCCAAATCACTGTGAGCCAAAACGATTATGGAGGAGGCCAGGGGAGGAGAGGGAACGCATCAAGACATTCACAACCTCCCCTCAGGCGGTGGAGACACGAGGCGTCACCACGGGTCAGAAACTGTACTCCGAATCTACAATCGTGCAACTGATGAATATATAGAAAGAGAGAGAGAGAGAGAGAGAGAGAGAGAGAGAGAGAGAGAGAGAGAGAGAAAAAAAAACACACGTAAAACATGTAGGATTGTGCACACAGGAGATGGACAATCTATGGAAACATACGTACGTCGTCCAGGGCGCCTCGGAAGGCGCCTCGGAAAGCGCAGAATACTCCTCCAAGGCGAGGAATCATGTTGCCGGACCGCCTTCCGGGAACATGATGGGGACGACCACATGAGGGCCTCCAGTGGGCCTCTTGGGGGCCTCTCGGAGGCCTGTTGGGCTCTCCTGGAGGCGTCTTGGGGCGCGCTCAGGGCAATTTTTGTGCATCTTGGGGGCCTCTGGGGGCCTCCGGGGAGGCTCTTGGGGGCCTCTTTGGGGCCTCTTAGGCAATCTTGAAGCCCTGTCGGGGCTCTCCTGGAACCGTCTTGGGCGGCTCCTGGGCCATCTTGGGGCTCTCCTGGGCCGTCTTGGGGCGATTTTGGGGGTCTCTTGGGCCGTCTTGGGGCGGTCTTGGGGGCCTCTTCGGCCGTCTTGGGGCGGTTTTGGGAGACTCTTGGACGGTCTTGGAGCGTCGGAACTCCGAAAAAACGAGAAGGCCAAAAACGTTGAAAAACAATACAAATCAACGATTTTGGCTTGTCGGGGCTCTCTTGGGAGGCCTCTTGGGATGCCTTCGGGGCCTCATGGAGCTCTCTTTGAACATCTTCGGGCCTTCCTGGCCATTCCTGAGGCTATGTATGCGCGTCTTGGAGCGCTCGCGGGCCGTCTTGGGCGGTCTCGAACTGTTCCTGGCGGTCCCAGGGGCCCTCCGGGACGCTTCGGACGCTCCCGGGGGCGCCCTGCACACCCCATGGAGATGACAGGCACCTCCCCGGGGCCCTACTCCGATATATATATATATATATATATATATATATATATATATGTTTTTATATATATGTTTATATATATATAAACATACATGTATATATACACACACGTACTGGTATACACATGGATAAGAAGGAAGCAACCAAAGACAATAAAGAGAGGGAGAGAGAGAGAGAGAGAGACAAACAAAAAGAGAGAGAGAGAGATATACATATATATATATAAACAGAGAGAGATAGAGAGATAGAGAGAGAGAGAGAGAACAACCAAAAAAAAACGCGGGAGAGGCGCACGACACATTGTACGGCCACCCCGTGATTACACCGACAGGTCTGTCGGAATCGTCCCGACCCCCGCGCTGCACCGCCGGGGTGCCATCCCAGGGACATCCCGTCGGACCGCTGGCCAGAAGGCGTGTGAGTGGAGGGGGTGGCAGGCAGAACAAAAACAGGTTCTATCGAGTCGGCGAGCAGCGGAGCGCGGCACGGAGCGAGGGAAGACAAGCAGGCAACCATCAACCTCTCTGGCATCTTGTCGGCCGAAGCGGCCCAGTCGCGAGGCCTCACCCGCACCCATGAAATCGACCATTCTTCTCCTTCGCCGCACTTTCATCCTCCACCTTCACCCTCCACCTCCCGTCCTCCTCCGAGCTCTGACTAAAGATGTTGCGAGTTGCGCGCCAGCCTCTGCTGACAGTTCGAAGCTGGCACGCGCGGGAAAGACTGCGGTCGAATTGCAACTCATTCAACCAGCCGCCAATTTTGATCATTGGTGGGGAAACCAAAAGGTACCAATACCGCTACTCCCCGGACCTTCATCAGGGTGCGTTCTGACCAACATTTCGAGGCGAATCCAGCGATGGCGACGAGGGCCACCCAGGAGGCCCCAAAAGGGGTAAACGGGCGGAGGGTGGCCGTATTGGCACCTTTTCCTCATCCGAATTGGGGGGGCATTGGTACATGAATGTGTCCTGAATGCTCGCTAATTTCTTTCGAAGCCTGTCGCACCGTGGGCCCTGGGGCCCGCAGGGGAGGGCCCTCAGCCTGGAGCCGCCGCCCTAGAGCCGCCGCGCCGAGGGTGGCGCCGGCCTGCCGCAGGGCGCCGCCCCAGATCCCGGCCCGCCTTTCACGCCCTTCACCTGCCCGAGCAACGACTTGAAGAACGCGGTTGGCTGCGCGCGAGCGGCGGCACGGAAGGACAACATTAAAAAATATGTCTTCATCTTTCGGCGACAATCCGGTCTTTCCGGTGGGGGAGAGGTGCTGGCCGATAACCTAATCTTTTCGCTTTGGTCAGCCCCACGTATGCCTCGCGCGCCAGCGCTGCGCACCCCAGGTTATCCTGGGGGGGCGGCTTGCCCCGACAACCCAGGTTGTCGCCGGGCACATTATACTGGCGAGAGACCCAACCATGTCCAGTTGTCACTTCTGCGTTTTGGGTTCCGCTTTTGGTGGAGTTCCTGTTTTGGGCCACGAAGCGTGTGACGGGTGTGTCAAACTGGGCGCGGTGGTGCCATACGAGCGCAGACCCTGGGGCATTCGTGCGCACGCAGCCGCTGGGGCCCTCCCCATGGGGGACCAAGAATTGTGCGAGAGGTGTGCCGCGATAGGCGCGGAGGTGCCACGCGAACGCAGCCAGTGGAACCGTCGGTGGAGCTCCATGTGGAGCCACGAATCGTCTGAAGAATGTGCCAACATGAGTGCGGCGGTGCCATGATAGCGCAGCCACTGATACCTTCGGTGGAGCACCTGATGGGGGCACGGAACGTATGAGGGGTGTGCCGAAATAGTGATGTACGCGGTGGTGCCATGCGAGCGCGGCCACTGGGGCATTCGGAAGAGCGACCTATGGGGCCACGAAGCGTGTGAAGGGTGTGCTGTCATTGGCGGGCCGGATGCATGTGGACACACCCAATGCGGTCTTATGTTGAAACCCCAAACGGGGCACGAACCGTGTGTTGGGTGTGTCGAAATGGGTGGGGCGGACGCATGTGGACACACCCAGTGCGTGCTTAGGTGGAACTCCCCATGGAAGCACGAAGTGTGTGAGGGATGGACAAAGAAGAGGAAGCGCGTTTCACGGGCGCTTGCCTTGGGAACATTCGGTGGCGCGTTTGAACTGGAAGGGGGTCCCCCACCGAACATTCGGTGCCGTCGAACAGAACCAGGACTCCCCTCTCACCTCCACCCGCAGACCCTCCAAACCCACCCGCGGGTTCCATCGCCAGCGCCGGTGTCAACGTCGTCTTCGTCGTCATCGTCGTCGTCGTGGCCGTCGTCGTCGCCGTCGTTGTCGTCGCCGTCGTCGCCGTCGTCGTCGTCGTCGTCGCCGTCGTCTCGTCACCGTCGACGTCGTCGTCACGGTCGACGTCGCAGACGCTGTCGTCGCCGTCGTCGTCGTCGCCAACGTCGACGTCGTCGTCGTCGTCATCGTCGTCATCGTCGTCGTTTCCGTCATCGTCGTCGACGTTGTCGTCAGCATTGTCGCCGTCGTCTGCGTCGTCGCCGCCATCGCCGTTGTCGTCGTCGACGTCGTCGAGTCGTCGCCGTCGTCGGCGTCATCGTCGCCGTGGTCGCCGTCATCGTCGCAGTCGTCGTCGCTGTCGTGGTCGCCGTCGTCCTCGCTGTGCTCGTCGTCGCCAACGTCGTCGTCGTCGCCGTCGTCGCCCATGTCACCGTCGTCGTCATCGTCGTCGTCGTCGTGGCACCCATCGTCGCCGTCCTCGTCGCCGTCGTCGTCGTCGTCGTGGTCACCTTCGTCGTCGTCGCGCTCGTCGTCGTAGTCGTCGCCGTCGTGGTCGCCGCCATCGTCGATGTCATCGTCGCCGTCGCCGTCGACATCGTCGTCGTCGCAGTCGTCGTCGTCGACGTCGTCGTCATCGTCGACGAACTCGCGCTCGTCACCGTCGTCGCCGTCGTTGTCGTCGTCGCCGTCGTCGCAGTCGTCGTCGTCGTCGTGGTGGTCGCCCACGTCGTCGCCGTCGTCGTCGTCTTCATGGTCGTCGTCGTCGTGGTCGTGGTCATCGCGGCCGTCGTCGTGCTCGATGTGGTCGTCGCCGTCGTCGTCTTCGTAGTCATTGTTTGCTTCTTCGTCGTCGTCGCCGTCGACGCCTTCGACGTCGCCGTCGTCGTCGTCATCGTTGCCGCCGTCGTCGGCGTCATCGTCGCCGTGGTCGCCGTCATCGTCGCAGTCGTCGTCGCTGTCGTGGTCGCCGTCGTCCTCGCTGTGCTCGTCGTCGCCAACGTCGTCGTCGTCGCCGTCGTCGCCCATGTCACCGTCGTCGTCATCGTCGTCGTCGTGGCACCCATCGTCGCCGTCCTCGTCGCCGTCGTCGTCGTCGTCGTGGTCACCTTCGTCGTCGTCGCGCTCGTCGTCGTAGTCGTCGCCGTCGTGGTCGCCGCCATCGTCGATGTCATCGTCGCCGTCGCCGTCGACATCGTCGTCGTCGCAGTCGTCGTCGTCGACGTCGTCGTCATCGTCGACGAACTCGCGCTCGTCACCGTCGTCGCCGTCGTTGTCGTCGTCGCCGTCGTCGCAGTCGTCGTCGTCGTCGTGGTGGTCGCCCACGTCGTCGCCGTCGTCGTCGTCTTCATGGTCGTCGTCGTCGTGGTCGTGGTCATCGCGGCCGTCGTCGTGCTCGATGTGGTCGTCGCCGTCGTCGTCTTCGTAGTCATTGTTTGCTTCTTCGTCGTCGTCGCCGTCGACGCCTTCGACGTCGCCGTCGTCGTCGTCATCGTTGCCGCCGTCGTCGTCGTCGCCGTCGTGGTCTTCGTCGCCGTCGTCGTCACCGTCGTCGCCGTCGTCGTCGCCGTCGTTGCCACCGTCGTCGTCGTCATCGTCGTCGTTGTCGCCGTCGATGGCGTCGTCGTCGTCGCCGTCGTCACTGTCGTCGCCGTCGTCGTCGTGCTCGTCGTCGTTGTCGTCGCCATCGTCGTCGCAATCGTCGCCGTCCTCGTCGTCGGTTTCAGCGTCGTCGGCGGCGTCGTGCTCGTCGTCTTCATCGTCGTCGCCGCCGTCGTCGTCGCCGTCGTCGTCAACGTCTTCGTCGTCGTTGCTACCGTCGTCGTCGTCGTCGTCGTCGACGTCGTCGTCGCCGCCATCGTCGCAACAGTCGTCGTCGTACTCGCCGCCACCGTCAACATCGTCGTCGTCGTCGCCACGGTCGGCGTCGTGCTCGCCGTAATCGTCGTCGTCGTCGTCACCGTCTTCGTCGTCGTGATCGTCGCCGCCGCCGTCGTCGTTGTCCTCAGCCCCGTTTCTCGCCGTCGCCGCTTTCTTCGTCGCCTTCGCCGTCGTCGTCGGCGTCGTCGACGTCGTCTTCCTCGTCGTGGTCGCCGTCAAAGTCGGCATCATCGTAAACGTGGCCGTCGTCGGCATCGTCGTCACCGTCGTGTTCGTCGTCGTCGTCGTCGTAGTCGTCGCCGTCGTCGTCATCGTCGTCGCTGTCGCCGTCGTCGTTGTCGCCGTCATCGTCGTCGCCGCCATCGTCGCCGTCGTCGTCGTGCTCGTCGCCGTCGTCGTCGTCGTCGTCGCAAGGGTCGTCGCCGCCGTCGTTATCGGCGTGGTCGACGTCGGCGTCGTCGTCGTTTTCGTCGTAGTTGTCGTCGTCGTCGTCGCCGTCGTCGTGGTCGCCGTCGTCGTCGTCGCTTGCGTTGACGTCGTCGTCGTCGTCGTCGACGTCGTCGTAATCTCCGTCGGCGCCGTCATCGTGCTCGTCACCGTCTTCATCGTCGTCGTCGCCGTCGTCGTCGTCGTCGTCGTCGTCGACGTCGTCGTAATCTCCGTGGGCGCCGTCATCGTGCTCGCCACCGTCTTCATCGTCGTCGTCGCCGTCGTCGTCGTCTTCGTCGTCGTCGCCGTCGTCGCCGTCGTCGTGGTCGCCGCCATCGTCGTCGTCGTGGCCGTCGTGCTCGACGCCGTTGTCGTCGCCGTCGTCGTCGTCGTCCTCGCTGTCGTCGGGAAATTCGTCGTCTTCGTCGCCGTCGTCGTCGTCCTCGTCGTCCTCTCAGCTGCCGTCGTCGTCGTTGGTGTCGTCGTCGTCGTCGTCGTCGTACTCGTCGTCGTTGCCGCCGTCATCGTCGTCGCCGCCGTCCATGTCGCCGTCGTCCCCGCCGTCGCCGTCGCGTGCGCCGCCGTCTTCGACGTCGTCGTCGTCGCCGCCGTCGTCGTCATGTTCGTCGTCGCTGTATTCGTCGTGGTCGAAATGGTCGCCGTCGTCGTCATCGTGGCCGTCGTACTCGACGTCATAGTCCTGTTCATCGCAATCGTCGTCCTCGCTGTCGTCGGGGTCGTCGTCGTCGTCGCCGTCTTCGTCGTCCTCGTCGTCGCCGTCGTCGTCGTCGCTGTCGTCGTCGTCGACGCCGTCGTCGTCGCCTTCGTCGTCGTGGTCGCCGTCGAAGTCGACATCATCGTAATCGTGGCCGTCATCGGCATCGTCGTCACCGTCGTCGGCGTCGTGCTCGTCCTCGTCGTCAATGCCGTCGTCTTCGTCGTCGCCGTCGGCATCGCCGTCGTGGTCGTCGTCGTTGCCGTCGGCATCGCCGTCGTCGTCGTCGTCGTGCTCAGTGCCGTCGTGGTCGCCGTCGCAAGCATCATCGGCTTCGTCGTCGTTTTCGTCGTCATCGTCGTCTCGTCACCGCTTCGCAGTCCGACATCGCCGTCGTCGCCGTCGTCGTCGTCGTCGTTTTTGTCGCCGTCGTCGCTGCCGACGTCGTCGTCGTCGTCGCCGTCCCCGTCGTCGCCAACGCCGTCGTGTTCGCCATCGTCGTCGTGGTCGTCGTCGTGGTCGCCGTCGTCGTCGCGGTCGTCGTAGTCGCCGTCGCCGCCGCCGTCGTCGTCGTTGCCATCGTCATCGTCATGTTCTTCGTCGTCGTGGCCATCGTTGCCGTCATCGTCGTCGTCGTCGCCGTCGTCGCCGTCGTCGTCGTAGTCGTCGTCGCCGTCGCTGTCGTCGTCGCCGCCGATGTCAAGGCCATAGCCCTCGATCGTCGTCTTCGTCGTCGTCGCCGTCGTCGCCGTCGTGGACGTGCTCAACGTGATCGTAGTCTTCGCCGTCGTCGCCGCGTTCGCCGCCGTCGTCGTCGTCGTCCTCGTCGCAATCGTGATCGTCGTCGTTGTGCTCGTCGACGTCGTCGCCGCCGCCGCCGCCGTCGTCGTTGTCGTCGACGCCGT